AGGGTAAAAAAAATGACAAGGAAAAAAAAGGCAAAACCAGTCCTAAACCACTTGTTTTCTGCTTCTGATATTTTACATAAAAGATGATTAATTTAAAGTAGATTAAGCTGGAGAAACAAAAAAATAAAAATGAAAGAATGAAAGATTCTCTTTTGATTAATAATCTTTTCATTACTATAACTGCAGTGTTCACTCATCATTATCTGTGAAGAAGACTAAATGCACTAGTTATATAAAGGTTATACAATTATTCTGATTTTAAGAAGAATACCAGCTGACCTAAAAGGTCTGATAAAATGTGATCTTGGATACCTTTAGACTAGTCTGGCATGCAACTCCCTTCCCTTTCATTAAGTAAGTCAAATTATCCTTCACACTGCACAGCATCTAAGGAGAGCTTTATCATCTGGTTGTCTGGTTTGGTGAAAACATCCATGTTGAGTCAAACACTGATTATGAGACTCTAATTGACAAGACTGGGATGCATACATAGTATCCCAAAACCTCCCCTGAGGTGTTCTTGGGCATTTTGTGAATTATCATGAAGTCTTACTCTGTACAAACACTGAAGATTTCAACTTTTCCAATCTATATGAAAATTTTTATTAATTAATGGAAATCACATGAAAATAAATTAAGCTTTTTATCCCAGCTCAGTTTCCTGTATCCTAATTCACTGTGTCAGTTATCACTAATGCTGGGACTCATGGTTCCAAAAATAATTCTGTTCTTAGAACAGAACAGGGTCCAGTTTCAAGAATTAGAGAAGTTGAGTAGTCACAAAAGTCTCAGCACTGTCTGAGTACTATAGCAGGGCTCTTTCAATTCCTCTACAGACCAGCATTTAGAACAAAAAATTGGGTTTTTTCTCCCATTTCCTGTTTCGTGAAGAAAATATTTGTACTGAAGAAATACATTGGCCCATAATTCACAAAGTCTCTCAGCCTCCCAACCATAATGCAATTTGTCAAAACAAACTTTTATCATAATTATGGACTTCTGTTATTTGCCTGCTGTTTATGGACATGCTTGATGCAACTATTCTTTTATGAACTATAAACAGCCAGATAGCATAGCTGTTCTCAGATCAGTGCCACAATTCTTCCACATGTGTGTTCTTCAGCCCCTCACTTCCTTCAGGACAATGTTTCCCTTGCTGAAGGGACTTTTTGAAAGACCTAGTAAGCATCAGTTTTGAAGGACTAAGCAAATTCTGTGTCCTCTTACTGACAGCCCTTGGCTTTCTTAGCAGATTAGTTTTCTATCAGGCTCAATGAGACTCTCCTGGTTTTCTATCTGATATCACATTAACCTTTCTTCATATTTTTATCCTGTGCAATGTTTATGCAAAATTCAGTTCTAACATGAATCCACCAGAGAAGGAGAAACAAAATCTTAACCATAAAACTCTTCTGATATCTATCTCAGGGGAAACCTTTTACCAAAAGATAAACATGCACTTGAAGTGCCAATTTTCTCTGTTGAGTTCACATTAAATCTCACAGAAATCAGTTTGCTGAATGGTTCTTCACACCTCTGAAAGTGAAGTGTATGTTTTATTTTGTCTTTGGCTTCTTTCCACTGTTATATTTTCACAGTGTGTTATGTAAATATTATGTGTGTGTTTTTGCATCTGTTCCCACAAACCTCCAATGAAATGTACCTTTCATAGTCTTTTATGCAAACTGGTAGTCTTTAGAAGGAAGGGAATAAACAAGGTGCAACACTTTCTCTTAACTAAGAACAAACTACTGACTGTCCATATTCAAACTGCATTAGTTCAGCTGTTGTTAATGACAATATGTGCTTGAACATCACCCATCTATCTCCTTTTTCTGTTTGTTGTACAGCAAGCAAATCAGAAAAAAAAAAATTAGGTCAAGTCTCATTCCTCTGTAGAGTAGCTACTTATTATAAAGTTTGCTCTGTTTCCTTTATTTCTCTCTGTTCTAAATGTTTTGATCTGTTTCACCAACCAAGTTTCCCTTTTACAGTGAACTTTCAACATTTTGCCATTCATTATTGAAGGGAAAGTGTCACAGCCAAGGCAGCTTTACAATCACTGTGGGGTGGAGGAGCACATTTTTAAAACTTCTTATCTCCTTGCAAACTTATAGAGGACCGATTTCAATCATTTCACTTGGAAAATTATTGCAAGCCTAGAGAAAGCATGAAGGTTAGTTCTTCCCTGAAGTAGGCAAATAGCCCAGCAGTTCTCTGAAAGACTGACAGGCACAACCAATTCTTCATGCTCAGCTCCAGGGAATCACAGGTGAGCATATCCTAAGCCTTCCTTAGTTTGTGGGAGAAACACTAGAAACATGAGACATACCTGTAGCAGCTGCATCCATTGAGATACAGTGTTGTTCTGTGAACCCTCAAAGAGGTTTTGAGGGAAGCCATTCCAGGAACTTACTTGCCAAAGCATTCCCTTCCAGCGCACGTGCTGAGGATGTAAAAATGCTGATACCAAAGAGAAAGGTAATAAAATTGGTGTTACGCCTTGCAGCACTAGACTACCACTGATGCTGGGTTTTTTTCTTTATCTCATCAGCGAATACAATTTGAGTAACTTGCATGCTGGATTGTCAAGAGAGCACTTGTTTTACAAAGCATTAAAGCTTATTTGGTGCCAGCTTGGCATCTTGCCACAGGTGCTACAGAGGAAGAGTTGGTTTAACTGAATTTTCTCCAGTCATTGCAATATCTCATAAGTAATGAGATTTCCTTGGGGCCCAAATGGAATATGCACGCTAGTCCCAAGATCAGCAATTAGCTTTTGTTCTAACTGAACATAATGATATAGAATGACATTTCACAACTTGACTGTTCCTTTTCTGTATACTATAGAACACTGAAAGAGAAACAATGCTGAAGATTTCGGTTTCTGCAAGACCTACCCGTTAGTCTGAAAGACATGCCAATTTGTTCCTTATCTAGAACTCTCATCATTAAGGCCATTTTGTTTGTATCTTTGCAATTTAACTTATTCCCTGAGGTTAAGTCATGGTTTTTGGGCTTCAGTTGCAAACAATTCCTGTATTTTTTCAGGGGACACGTGCTGAGGGCAACTCAAGTGAAAGTTCACCAGGTGCCACATCTTGGAACTAAATTAAATACCAAGGTGTGAACCAAACTTTGGGACAAGTTCTTTTTCTGTCGCTACCAACAAAGAAAACATCCATAGTGTTATTCTGCATGACCTTGTTTTCATGAGTGACTTCACCAGAAGGTTCATGTGTTTCATGTTAGATTACCTAGTGATGCCTATAGTTCAGGATCAGGTCCTACATTCTTCATCCTGATTGGTATATAGCGAGGTACATATCAAGTGTCCAATTGGCTGGGAGATTTCATTTACCACCGGTGGGATTTGGATCCTTTTCTGCTCTGGTCTTTCTAAATCCTTCCATTTTTTTATCTTTCCTTTTTTTTTTTTTTTTTTCCTAGGAAATCTGCCCTTAATAGGTTTGAGGACATGAAGGCAATGTGTTTTGTCAATAGTTCAATTAAAAGTGAATGTAGAGTTAACTGACACTTTGTAAAGCAGGAAGCCTGCCAATGTATTAAAGAACATAATAGAACATAGTTAAAAAATCCAAGACGTCACTGGATCAATACAATTGTTTTCCTGGATTCATCCCTCTAACAATGGTAAGTGTTCTGAGAAGTTCTCATCTATTAAACTAGAAAATAAGAATCACAGGGTTGCAGTGTGTCTACTACACAACAACTCATATTTCCTGACATACTGGAAATCTTTGTGGTTGCATACTTAGGCCTTTCCACAGAAGACCCATTTCATTCTGATATGTTTATGGATGCATATGAAAATCAGTTGTTTAGCCTTGAACCTACACAGTATTATTGTCAACTACCCTGGACACGCTGAGCAAGCACACCTTATGGAAAATGAGGTTTCATGTTCACTGAAATAAATTTATCCCAAAACCATAATTCACTCCAATTTTATAGAAGTGTCTGCATCAGAAAGTGAGAAAGAGAACAAAAGGCCTTACTTTTGCAGGTCCTGAAATGAAGTGTCTTAGCAGGGAATATAGTAGTGTCCTGCTGTTTACTCAGTGAATAAAATTGAGGAATTGAGATCTGAAGAAGAGGAAATGTCTCAAGAACCATCCCCCACATATTCCTTCTCTGCCCAGAAGAGCAAAAAGAATAAAAGTCGATGGGAATGAATCTGTACAAGACACAGACAGACAGACAGATTTAATTTGATTTACTACTCCTCCAATAAGCAATAACAGATACATACAGCAAGACTAGTACACTCGATGAACACTATAAGTAATCAGATTTAATGTTGTTGTCTACTTTAATAACTTCATTTTCCTGTTCAAAATATTTAAAGGTGAGGAAGGCAGAGGATTCCATGCTCAAACTGTACACAAAAAGATAGGAGCATAGTTTCTCAGTTCCAGGACACTAGCACAGACTAGTAACACTCTTTGTTTAGTCACTCAGGGCATTTGCATATGTGAAGAAACTTTTCCTGTTCTGGGCACTGAATTCACCCAGTCCAGGAAAATGCGTGCATGTGTCAAGTAGGAGAGCTGTTGAGACTGGTGACATTGACTTGTTACCCATCTACGGGAAATGAGGCTGACTAGTGTGAAACTGGGGACAGCTGTTTTGAAGGCCAAAACGCTGGGCTTCTACTCCTGTGCAGGGCAGTGATCCAAAGCAAAGAGCAGAAAACAGTGGCATGGCTTTAAGCAGTGGTACCTGACCTATGCTTGAGGTATAAGGGAGACTCATATATTCGTCTACTTTTCAGGTGGTGCCCTGTACAAACATCTATATGAAAAATGTGTGACAGAAATGAGTGAAAATGATGTGAATGAAGTCACGAAAAGTCCTTCTGTTCTGACCTATTTGTCTCCCTGTAGCTGCTCTTCTCCCCATTGCGTTACAGAAGTGACAGCACGTGGTAAGGGAAATGAGTAAGATGTAGGCGGCATTTTTTCACCCTGTAACATGAGTTCAGAAGAACTCAATAACGAAATCATACTGTGAAAGCATGCAAAAATATACCACCAGGGCGAATTCATAGTTTCTGCCTTTTTTGTGCTCTGTTACTGTAACGGCCACGGGAAAGAAGCTTTCAAGGAGAAGGTAGGTTTACTTCTGCCTTTTTCTGTTTTTCTTTTCTATTTTCTTTCCTGTTTTTCTTTTCCTCCAAAGAAGCTCAGCAAAGAAATACTTAGTTTTGTTATTTCTGCTAGTTTTAATGTTAAAATAAAAATGAGGTGTGAACAGACACTACCTGCAAATGCATGCTTTTGTCTGGTGAATGTCTTTGCCAATATTTTGATGGTGTGTTTTTCTACTCTGAAAATAATTGTATAAATAGATTTTAAAATTAGCAGTTCCTAGTGTTACTGGCCTCGTCCACATAGCAGTATCTCTCTTATGTTAAGACCTGCATTACAGCATTGAAGAATGCCTAAGTGACTTTTTCTTGAAAACAGTCGAACTGGAAAAGTCTGGATTTTGGAACTTTGCGTCCATAGAGTAAAATTACTATCAAGAGTGAATCCCTTTTAGGGGTACTGTATTTAGGCAAGAGCAGAATGGGAACATGGTATTGCCCTTTCTCCTTTATGATTTTAATACTGAAGTAGAAGACCTCACATAAGCACAGTTCTCCGAAAATGTCACTGAAATGGAGGCATAATTTTACCTTCATAGAACAACCAACATGTAAGCAGTAATTCCTGTCCTCAGGCCCTATTAATAATCTTGTTTCCCGCAAAGGATTGTAGAGCCAAATTTTCTTTTCTCTGATATTTTTCTGAAGCTAATACTCCTACATTTTTTCCAACATCTGCACTAGTGATGGAGATAATCTAAACTGACTCAAGAGGTGTAAATAAATAAAAGCATTCTGTATGCTTGAAACAGTGGATTGTTATGCACTTGAGTGCAATCATCATATCTCGCTCAGCTGAGTAGCTTACCTCTTTCGTGGAAAAAATGTCAAGAAACATTTCAAATAAAGCTAAAGACAGTAAAATAGGGGAAAATAAGTTATTCATGTATGAAACAAATTATACTACTGAGGATATTAACATCCTCCTATATGTATTTATTATCATCATCATCAAATAGTATAGGAGGCAGTTCAGAAAAAAAAGTACAATGCAGAGGAACTGAACTGTTCCTTGCATCACAGCTAACAGAAAAGGATAATAAAAGTACAGTCCTGCTAAATAAGTGACAAATATGGGTTTTGTCAAATAGTGGTTAAGTAAAAGGACACTAAATAAACTTAGATAGTCCTCAGGTATAAGCTGGAAAGAGAAAAATGTCAGTGTCTCCTTGAAATAATGTGAGATAAATGTCTCATGAAGACTTAGTGCTATTCCAGGTGTTGCTAAAAATAAAACTATAATGCTGACACTGTGAGTGAAGACCATAGGCTCAAAAATAAACATTACATGAAGGATAATCATACTTTTCTATTTTGTTAGATTTTATTTGGCATAACCACAAAAATGTGAATAAATAAAAAATGAAAAATAAATGAAAATAAATGTCTTCAAAACCTGGAAAAAAATGTCCTGTCAGCAAATGGTATAAAGAGACTCATACATATCTGAGTGATCTTCACAGCATGTGCCTGATGTTGATATGAACATGGCACTGTGCAGATGATTGGGACTATTTTGTAGGCAGAGTAATGTTCTGGCTGTAGAACTTGGGCTAATTAAAGAACTTCTGAGAATATCTCTATATACTTTTCTTGAATATAAAAGCCTAAGGTGGTCATTGAAGAGTCCAAGGATGTAGTTTTATTTGTTTTTTCCTCGACTACAATACCATTTTAGGAGTTCCTTTCACCCTATTTCTTTGTTGCTGCCCAACTCAACTGCTTGTTGGGCCACACATGAACCAGGTTGTGAACTGATCTGAAATCAGAATAACCCTTTTTTCTTTAGATTTGCTGCACTGCTAAATGCTTAAGGAAGCCCATCTCTCTAAAACCCTTGCACAGCACCTGCAATCATACTTCAGACTGCTGCATTTGCCTGGCAATTTCTTGATAGAAAGGAAATTCTTTATTTGTTTTGTAAACGAGGAAGTCAAGTACACAGATTTGATTGACCCAGGGTCATAAAGTGAATCTGTGGCAGGCTAGAGAACTGACCAAAGCTCTCCATCACCTGACCGCAGTACTGCAATAACTGTACTCTCGAAAGTAGTTTGTTGTGTATATGAACTTACATTTTTACTGGATATAAACAACTCTGTGCTGAGAGTTTTGATACATTTAGTGACTAGATAAGGGTCAACATATCTTACAGCAGCAGAAATAGCATAGATAGCTCTTCTCTGGGTTTTTATTGCTAACCCACACTGTCATCTCAGATGAGCTTGCTTCACTGTTTGTGGTAAAGGATGTTAAGCCAGGTTAAAAAAAAAGTGCTGGGAAGAGCAATAGTTTTAATGATGATCACTTATTCAATACTACTCACTACAAGGCTTCACAAGGAGTGGCACTAGCACAGCTAAGGAGGCAGGACGGAATCAGGAAGGAGCCATGGAAGATGGGGAAGGACGGGAGATGCTTAGGTCAACAATGCTGTTGAAAGAAATGTTGCTGAACCAAGTTTCAACCTTCCTCTTGGAAGTCAGAAAGTTTTCCAGAAATCCAGGAGGACTCTGACAGTTTTCTTGTCTCTTGAAAAATTTCTCTTTATTTCCAAAGATGTAAAAATTGGATGTGGATTTTTAGGGCTAACTGGAGAGCCGCATGTAAAGGTTGTACATGTGGTGTTTAAACTCAATGAATAGTGATTAGACTTGGAAAGCTGTGACCCAGGCCTTCAATTCACACTGAGAGTTGTTAAGAAGAGGTTCTGAATGACTATTATTTTCTATTGGAGATCTTACCTTTTGGTAGGGAAGAAACACACAAGAAACTCATTCAGATTTTGAGTAGACAACCTGAATAGACTTTTAACTTAAGCAAACTATCAACTTCTGCTTCAATTTTGTCTTGGTTCTACACTAATTATATGGATATTCAGGCTTCCTTCTATCAAATTCAGTCCAAACAAAGTTTGCCCCAGTCTTGAATCCAAACTACTGGAGCAGATTTCATGATTGAAAAATATGCCATTCTGTCTTCAAAATCCTGACACTTCTGCAGGGACTAGCTTAAGGAAGCAGTCTCAGGGTTAGTTTGTAATCAACCAGCTGTCACAGAGAAGAAAGCAGTGGACATCTTTTTTTTAAATCAGTAGTGCTTTGTAAGTCAACCAAGAGTCGGAGCACTGAAGCACAGGAGAGAGAACTTGCGTTCCTCGTGGTTGTAGAACTTACGTTCCACTGTAGACTAGACCTTAGTTAAACAGGGGATCTAAACAAAGGACACCATGGTGTCTGTCTTTGTTATCAGCTTCCACTAAATCACAGTGCTTGAGTTTATTAAAGACTTGATTAAATCCCAGTCACGTCTGGAACAATGGTAGATAATCCTCGTGGCTCAACACAAATAAAATCATTGCCATCTTCAAGTAAGTACAAAACTGCAAGACCCAAACAATATGCAGTTGGATTTACTAAACAGTTAGCTAAAAACTATCAAACGAGTTTGCAGAGATCTGGGTTACTTGAGCACTTACACAGTCTTTCTGCAGAGTGGACATGGGATATTCTTTCTGTGTTTGCAGGAATGAATGGGACAGCTATTGAAAATTTTGTCTGTGTCATTTTTAATGTGTCCTTCATGAACTGCACGTGGCATGTGGGCAGGACTGCTACAAGAGATACCCAGTATTTTCTGTACTGGAGGCCCTCAGAGTGAGTAGCTCTGTTTGAATCTAGGAAAATTTGGTTTCTGGTCTGATACGTTACATTGTCAATATTTAACTGATACAATATTTCATGTAAAGGAAAGAAAATATCACAGAGTGCCAGAATTACATCAAAGATAACTGGGGAAGGAACACAGGATGTCTATTCCAAAATGTGACAATAGCATATAAGAATGCTTATTTCCTGGTAAATGGATCTAGAAGTGGACAAAACATTCAGTCATATGAGAAGAAGATTATGCTATACAAAATTGGTAAGGATTTTTTTTTAATTGTTATTTCTAGTTTTATGCTAAAGTATAAGAATGAACAAAAACTAATGAGTAGAGACAACCAGAGGTTGGAGAATCATGAACATTTCAGTCAAATATCTATTCAGTGAAAGAAAGAAAGGCATCGTCTTTTAGGATTAACTAGCTAAGATTGCCTTAGTGGGACTATCTAGATGTCGGTCTTATTATTTCATAATTCTGTGCATCCACAAATACAATAGAACCAATTACCTTAACACTATGAGCAAAACCTTCATTTTTTTAAATGGAAGAATGTCGTTAATTTAAAAAATAGTATTTCTATTTTATATGAACACAATATTAAAAAAGACTAAGAAAAATAAATGCATACAGATTATATGTTGAATTTATTAAAATCTAATAAATGGCTTGTGGTTTTTTTATTTTACTTGCTGTTGTTGTTGGTACTCCAGGCTCCTCAACTGGAGTGCTAAACCAGGCTGTCATCAAAATATGGGGAAACTATAGTAATTCTGCTAAAGCTTCATCATATCTATTTAGACCAGTTGCTTGAACGTCTACCTAGATTTTTTAAAAGGCAAAGTGAAGAACGCTATTATTAACCAATTGTATTTCTGATCATATTATTGTAGAAAAACTCACCCCTCCATTAAATGTCACTGTGAACTGCACAGAAGCTTCTCATGCATGTAATATTCAGTGGCAACCACCTCACACAAGCCACGTGAAAAGGAGCAGCTGTTTCAAATATGAAATTGTCATAGAAAACAAGGTAAGAATAATTGTGACTTTTAATAGCACTTTGTATGTCTGTATTCCCACACATACCACCGTACAACTGCTACTTGGTTCTCTTCACCTACTTAACTAGTCTCTCCTTTTGACTTGTAGTGCCCCTCTTGCACATGAGCTGAGCACTGCTATCAATCACTCACAAAGAGGGGCAGCAAACTGAAGGAATGCTTTCAGCCCACTGCACAGCTGGTGCTTAAAGCAACCGGGCAAGGGATTCCCCACACTGAGGGAGAAACCTATTCTAGCACGTACAAGGGGGTGGAGTCTTAGATGTCTCCACCCGGATGCTTGTACTTTTTATTCTGTCTTTTGTATATCCAGCCTTGCCTTCTTCTCCTATTGCCTCCCTTTACGACACCAGCCTGTGTTGCTGAAGGAGTTTAGGAGTTTCTCTAGAGGAGGCCTGGAGTATACACAGTTAGTATGGTTGCACCATAATCAGCTGTAAGGGCCAGTCCCAGAGCATCTGTTCACTGTGGGGTTTCATTAAGTTCTGAGTCCATTGTTTTTTAACCCAAAGTGGTTTTCCACGTCTCAGCTGCATACAGTTGTTATTATAAATTTCAGTAACTACAAGTATTTTGAAGGCTTAGAAGAATATGGAAAGTACTATTACATCCTAAAAAAAAAATTCATAATATTCGTGGAAATATTTGTGAGTTTGTTGTTCCAACAATAAAAAAATAAAATTAATTTTATTTTTTTTTTTTAAAAAGGAGACATAACATAGCTAAACTAAATGTTTAAGAGTACAAAAGCTACACAGGCAAAAATACTAATGGCAATAATAATGTTTGAGTTTACTAGTAAGTTTTAGATACTTTGTTTTGTACAAGTAAAATGGAAAAGTTTAATTGCTCCTAAACCTAAGCCTTTTTTGTTTAGTGCTGTGATAATCAATTCTGTAATCAAATTTAAGTGGTATGATATTTTAAAACAACAGTGATGAGGAAAAATCATTTAGTGGAAGAATAGCTTAACTTCACAGTCTTTAAAAGAAGGCATTTAAAATATCAGATACACATTTTTTTCCTGAAAATCAAACATTCATGAGAGAGGGCTCGTTATTATATGGTAGCAAAAAAAAAAAAAAAAATCTTAGAAATTATACTTTTCTCTTGTTGCTAGGCTGATCCTAAGAAAAACTTCAACACCACATCTGAAACAGTAAGTCTATATTAATCTAACATTTATACTTTATTGAAATGTCTTCTATATCAGAGTATCTTCTAAACAAATTATGGTTTCACACTATCAGTTTCAATGTACTACATATGTTCTTTACTGATAAGTTTTCTAAAACCAAAATTTTAAACTGTTGTTTATAAAACATGGTACAAAAACACCTGCAAATGTGGAACTTGATATTACTTCACAAGATCTTCTATTTTACATTTTTTGTACTTCCTAGAAAATTCAGATATATATGTATAAATATGGATCAGGATTCTATGTAACAGAAACACAAAATGCGGTGAATTTCTTCTTTATTAATGGTATCTGAAAGGGGTTGAGATGGAAGAGGCAAAAAAAATCACCTGAAAGATTAAGCCAGTATAAGGATGGACTTAAAAAAATATCAGGTTTTTCACATCTGTATAATCTGGATTTCAAACTCTACTTCAGTTTTGGAAACATCCACAGTAAGGGAATGTCAGATCTCCAAAATTTTTTTCGCTAAAGTCCTACTGTTTAGCATAGTCTAGGGAGCCAGGGAAGCACATAGCAAATTTCATCTTCATATTACCAATAACAAAAATGTTTAAACAACAGGAATTAGGATGAAACAATCTAATTTATTAAGGCGTATTTTTGTATTTGTTGTTTCACTCTAGTCTGTCCACAGAGACATAGGTAAAATTTTCTCATCATGATATAAAAATAATAAAGAATTCTCAGTCTAGTTGTTTTGCATTATAGCACTCCTACCTGTATGAGAGCTTCAGTGCAGAAAAAAGGTACAGTGTCAAAATCCGAGCAACTGACACAGGCATTTGTTTAGTGAGCCCAAGCTGGGGAGAGTGGAGCACACCGGTGGAGTTTGGTAAGAATGAAAATCACTTCCTTGACCAAGTTCAGTTACTCCTTGTCTGCCTCATTTATTACTTCACCCTTAGAGGTGGAAACACATTGGTAATTGCTCATTAATTTGCTAGGACAAATAGAGGTGGAGGACTGGCGTGTCTCTTAATATAAGGGACTTCTCCAAACATTCTGGTGTGACGGTGCTTCTTGCAAGGCGTTAGCGAATAAAGCAGACCTTTTTGAGGTCTGTTGCCACCTCTTCTTCCATCTCTTATCCTGGAAAAAGGAAAACTCATTTTTCTGCCTGTTACTCTCTGGCTCTTTGGATATTTCAATACTTTATAGGGCTCAGCTCCTCCAATCTCCTTACTGCAGATAGTCCACATACTGGCAACCATCCTGTTCCTTCACATACTACAGAGCAGTGAGGTGCTAAAGTTATCTCTTCATACAGTGTTTGACACTCTCATGCAAAGCAGATTGCAAATGGCTGTGAAATCATTCCTGTCCTATGATGCTAACCAACACTTTGGTGATTGTTTGACTTTCAGGTAAACAACCATTTACATCTGCTTCATCATATATGTTATTTCTGACATCGGGACTGGCAGCAAGTCTTGCACTTTTTCTCTGCACAGTGTAAGCCTCATTTCTTGTGCAAAATTTTTATTCTATAGTTGAAATAACACCTTTTCCCCCAGTGAAAAATTTCTGGTTTCTTTATAAAGGAAACGAGAGAGGGGAGAAATCAACACTGAACTACACTAGCAATCATGACCTGCTGGATGTTCCTCAAGTGGGCTTTGTCTTTCTGATTCCCAACATTCTTATCCACTTGATTAATATAAGACAATGCTTTCCAATACTAGGACAAAGCTTTACTTCAGTGTCACTTTCCCGACATCAGACTCTGCAATGCAGATGTGTGGTACATGAAATTGTTTTCATGCTTTGACGATATAACCCTTCCATATACTTAAAAAAAAACAACTTCCTACGAGGTTTTAGTAAGTCATAAAATAAATTATTGTCATCCAAATTCTGAACAATGACATTATAACATTGTATTTAGCCTATGTAATGTTTAGCTACTTTTGATTTAGAAGAACACTACTTTTGTCTTAGAGGAGTAAAATAATACCTCAGGAGCATTATTATACTATATGTGCTCAGATGTTTGAACACTAAGTCTTTTCTCCACCAACACTTTTTGTCACTGTAGAAGTGTTTACTTGAAAAAAACATCTGCTACAGTACCACAGCCAAGAGACCCATTCCACGAGGCCTGTCCAGTGGATTTTCAGGTATGTTTTCTTTCCATTTTCCTGGAACTTAAAAATTTAGGTCAAGTTCAGTCTCAAAGGTATGATCCAAGTGTCAGAAAGATGCACACAAGAAAGAATCATTTTTCTTTCCTCTTCTTGTTCCTGTGGAATGGAAAGAGAAGGTCCATATGCAAATAAATCTTCTGTTTTACCTTTTTCAGTATGAAAAAATTGTCATTTGTCTATGTGGACCTTTGGAGAAAATACACAGTTTCACCTTTCTCTCCCTATAAACCATATGCTATCACTTGAACAGCGCTGAGCCTAGGCTTCTCAGCACAGTAATAATGCAGAATCAGACAGGGAGAGAAGGGACAAAGAATTCTACAAAAGTTTTGCCATAGGAGGTGTGGAGCCCCATGTCAGTATTTGGTAATGATGGTGGAGGAGGAAAAGTTTCTCCGGTGTGGTTAGCAAGAAAGTAAAGCAGAGAGTTCAGAGGTGCTTACTTAGCTGGAAGGACTCATGAGAAGGAGCAAACACACAAACATTGCAGGAACTGCCCATCTGGACAATATGTTCCAGTTGGCTTTAAGCTGGCTACAGGGAGGTCTGGGAACTGAAACTTGTCTGCAGGAACACACTGAAGTACTCTTTAGCCTTTATAAAACCTTTTAAGTTCTCTTCCTTCATCATGTTGACTCTTCTATGTTTTAAAGTAAGTTTCTGGCTTTTGCGTTTGTAGTGGGTTGACATTGGCTGGATGCCAGGTACCTACTACAGTCACTCTCTCTCACTGCCCTCTGCAACTGGACAGAGGAGAGAAAATGGAATGTAGGGTTCATGAGCTGAGAGAAGGACCAGGAGAGGTCACTCACTGATTACCATCATGGGCAAAGCAGACCCAAAGTGGTGATATAAATTAAATTTATTACTAACACAATCGAAGCAGGAGAATGAGAAATAAAATAAATCTTAAAAAATTCTTTTCCCCTGCCCCTACCTCCTTCCCTGTTTCTATCTCCTCCCCCCACAGCGGTGCAGGGAGATGAGTAATGGGGGTTATGGTCAGTTCATCACAGGTTATTCCTGCTGCTGCTCAGGGAAAGGAGTCCTTCCCCTGCTCCATTGTGGGGTCTCTCCCACAGGAGCCAATCCTTCATGAATTTCTTCAACATGAGTCCATTCCAGGGGTAACAGTTCTTCCCAAACAGCTGCAACATGTGTCACTTTTCCACAGACTTCAGTCCTTCAGGCACAGGCTGCTCCAATGTGAGTCCCCCACAAGGCCACAAGTCCTACCAGGAAAACCTGCTCCCATATGGGTTCCTCTCCCCATGAGTCAGCACATCCCTGCCAGGACCCTGTGTCAGCACTGACCTCCCATGAGGTCACAGCCTCCCTCCTTTGGGCATCCACCCACTATGGTGTGGGCTCCTCTGTGGCCTGCAGGTGGATTTCTGCACCCCATGGTCCTCCATGGGCTACAGGGAAATAGCCCCTCTCACCATGGTCTGCAAAATGGGCTGCAGGGGAAAACCTCAGCTATGGGGCCTGGAATACCTCCTCCCCCTCCTCCTCCACTGACCTTGGTGTCTGCATTGTTATTCTCATGTTCTCATTCTGCTTTTCTTTTGCTGAAATTTCCTTTGTGCAATAACTTTTTTCCCTTCTTAAAAATGTTATCACAGGGGAGTTACTATCGTTCCAGATTGTCCTGGCCATGGGCAGCAGCGGGTCCATTCGTAGGCTTTGGCCCTACTGGACATGGGGGAAGCTTCTAGTAGCTTCTCACAGAAGCCTCTCCTGTAGACCCCCTGCTACCAAAACCTGGCCACATAAAATACTGAACCAATACAGAGTTGAAAAGTCTTTTTTTCCTCTTTGCGGAGCTCAACATGGAGGGAAGACCTAGACATGACTATTTCTCTCTTCTCACTGACAGTCCTACTACAGTTCTTATATAATAGCAACTCATTGAATAACAGGAGATTCACAAATCATGACTTTGTGGCTAACCTCATGCCTGAAACACTAATGAAATGTTTTATTCTTCCTTTAATAGACAGAATATGAGAATCTGTTAATAAACCGTGAAACTGAAGAAATAATAAAGATTGAAGAAGTGATGGAATGCAAGTGAAATGAGCTACTTGATATTTTTCAAGCATATATATCTTGTTGGTAGAAATTACCAGGCTTTTCATATTCTCTTCTTCTTGCAAGCAATGAGAATAGCATTGCCTGTAGAGACAATGCCCCAAGAGCCTATCTTTAAAAGCCTCTTCGTATTTGATTGCATTTTCCATAAATATTTTGAGTTGTTTGGACTACTTCTGTTTCTTCTTATGAGGCATACTGCAGTGTTTCAGCAAAAATATTTCAGTATTGCTTTGGAAGTTATTGTACTGCTTTTCAACACCATTCAGAAGAATAAGAACAACCAAACTTAAGGGGTTTCTTCAGGATCTCCAGAGGTTCAGTGTCTTGAAAAAGGTACAGTTGTATTGACACTGATCAGGAATAAAAATTTGTCAGCTGTACGAAAACCCACTGAAAATTAGCCAAGATCAAACCTCTTAAGAAAGATCATTTGTTCATATAAAATGAGTATTATTAAAGAGTTCATGATACAGTTTTTTAAGTCTATTTGTTGCATTTAATCTATGTTGCTACACCCTCAGCACACAATATGAGTCAGCGTTGCCCTGACAGCCAGGAGGGCCAGCTGTGTCTGGGGGGGCATCTGGCAAAGCATCATCGGCCAGTTGAGGGAGGAGATTGTCCCGCTTTGCTGTGCACAGGTGTGGCCTCACCTTGGTGCAGCTTGGGACATCACAATATAAAAAAGACATAAAGCTATTATAAAGCACACAGAGGAGGTCTGTGGAGATGCAGAAGGACTTAGAGGGGAAGCCATACTGGGAGCAGCTGAGGTCACTTGGTCTGTTCAGCCTGGAGAGGAGGAGACTCGGGGGGAGACCTCGCTGCAGTCTACAAACTCCTCGTGAGGGGAAATAGAAGGGCAGGCACTGATCTCTTTTTTGTGGCAACCAGCAATAGGGCCCAAAGAGCTGCATGAAGCTGTCAGGGGAGGTTTAGGTTGGATATTAGGAAAAGGTTCTTCACCCAGAGGGTGGTTGGGCACTGGAAAAGGCTCCCCAGGGAGGTGGTCACAGCATCAAGTCTGCTGGAGATCAAGGAGCATTTGGACAACACTCTCAGACATATGGTGTGATTCCAGGGGCTGTCCTCTTCAGGATCAAGAGCTGGACTTGATGATCCTTGTGAGTCCCTTCCAACTCAGGATATTCTGTGATTCTTCAATTCCATCAAGTCTCAGGATGGTTAAAGTCATCTCAAGTAGCTGAAGTACTTTCACGGTAAATAAAGTCCTCTCAGAGCAATAAAATTCCACTGGACAGGATTACCTTCAAGGGATCATCTTTGAAACTAATTTTTCCTATGTTTCTGTGTTTCTAAATAAGTTTTCAATAAAAATATATTTTGAATATCCTTTTGAAGAGGAACCAACTGCCTAAAGATAAAAGCATCGGCATTAGAAGTGGACAACTAAAGCCAAAGCTTACTTTAATCTGAAGGAAATTAAGCAGAGACAGTGTACTGGATCCTCTCCATCCTACTTCACTCAGTGTTGATCATGGCCATTGGTGCACCCCTTACATCCCCACTGCTTTCAGTATGAAAGTTGCTGACACTTCAAAGCCATTAAGAAAACCTGTTCACTGCCAGCACCCTGCTGGGAAAACCATAAATCATGTCCATGAAACAGTGCAGGTGGGAGTAGATGTGGGATTAAGGTGTCATCTTCCCATCCCTGGTCAAAGACCCAATATAAAAATCTGGAAAGGATGGTCAGATTTTACAACTTTTTAATCAAGAGTTTGGAATGTTGATCCACATAGAAGTCTTTTTTTTCTAGAAAGTTCTTGCTGCAAGGACTAAATTGAAGCTCTTGTCTACCATTTATGTTTTTGTGACACACGCACAAGCTGTAACCAGCATAACAAAATACCCAGGCAGTTCTTTTGAACACTCCTACTTTTGTTGAAACAATAAATTATTCTTCAAGATTTTGTGACTTTTAAGAAAGGTTGGGTTTAATCCTGCTTTTGCAGTGATTTTACTTCCAGTAGGGCCAGAAGTCTGTAAACAGCCCTAGTGTCTCCACCTAGGTTTCTCCTCTCTCTTCCTCTTTCTTTTTCTCTTCTCATTTCGCTTGCAGCTCCTGGATCATAGAGAGGCCATTCAACACTAATTTTATGGCATCTGAAAGACAACAGACCTAGGTAACACCAGCAGTAATGCCAGTTTTGTTTGGGAATTTTTAATTTTTTTTTTAATTTGCATTTTTGAAAGCTGCAGGTAAGGACTTTCCCTAAATATAGACAAGCAAAGAAATCCCCTAAACAAAACAGTTCCCTTTTCTGCAGTAATACCACTGTCCTGGGCTGTTTGGATTGTTATGGGCTGTTTGGATTATTATACTGCAGTATATTCCAGTTTAAAAACAAAGTACCCGAATCCCAAAACCTTAAACCTCAGTCTTCTTCATTGTGTTGCAGAGATATAAAATCTGAGAGAGTACACAAAATGCTGTGTTACCACCACAAAATTGAGTGCTTCCCTCCAAAGAGAAGAACACAGCAAACTGTAGGGTTTTTCATTCTTTGTGATCAGAAGCCCTTTCTTCTGTCTTTACAGCACAGTAAGTGTTCAAAAAATACCTACATGGATAAGTATGGAATTTCTTTAATTGTCAAGTACAGTGAAACTTCTGACAATGGACTGCTTTTTCCTCTGAATTGTTGTCACGGGCCCAGACCTAACAGCTTAGCTTTCAATTGCTTTGCCTGTTATACTGTGATAGGGGTAGTCATAGTGATTCTTACCAAAAAGAGTTGTTTCTTTGACTAAATCTACTTTTTTATAGAATACCCACCTATATTTATTTGCTCTTAATTCCCACTCTTTGCTTCATAACTGTGCTTCAGAAAAACTTTGTCAGATTTTTGTTCTCTACTAGCACACGAAGACAGTGAACATCCATGAACTGGTCCTTATAAATCCACTATTGCCTTAGACTTTTACCTTTTAAACAACAAAAGACCAGGTCAGGCTCTGCTGATTCTCTCATGACTAGAGTTTTTTAAGTTCTGGATGTCCAAAGTGAGTTGTTCATCTTCTCAGTCAACACTAAGTTATTAACAGATGTGATCAAATGCACAAACATAATCACAGGATGTCATTTAATAGATTGATTTTTGATTCATACCTGGCTCTATTGGCACATGCCTTGCTGTTTTAGTACTGCATGTGAGCAGGTACTTCTTCCCGTGTTTTTTTTTTTTTTTTTTTTTTTTTTTTTTTTTTTTTTTTTTTTTTTTTTTTTTTTTTTTTTTTTTTTTTTTTTTTTTTTTTTTTTTTTTTTTTTTTTTTTTTTTTTTTTTTTTTTTTTTTTTTTTTTTTTTTTTTTTTTTTTTTTTTTTTTTTTTTTTTTTTTGTGTGTGTGTGTGTGGGTTTTTTGTTTGTTTGTTTGTTTGTTTGGGTTTTTGGGGTTTTTTGGGTTTTTTGTTTGTTTGTTTGTTTGGGGTTTTGGTTTTTGGTTTTTTTGCTTGTTTGTTTGTTTGGGTTTTTTGTTGTTGTTGGGGTTTTTTGGGTAGAAAATGGTTTTGAAGTCAAAAAGTTTCTATATATGAGTAGACTTGTGCAATGGGTTGACCCTGGCCAGATGCCAGGTACCCACTAAAGCCACTCTATCACTCCCCTCTGCAATTGGACAGAGGAGAGGGAAAAAAACCAAAACCCTTCATGGAGAATCCCCATCCCCCAACCTCCATCCTCCAGAGATGTCTTATATTGAGAGATGCTTTGTACTTCTCATTATTGCTTAAAGCTAGAGAGAAATACATTTAAAAGAAAATATTTTTATGCACGCACTGGATTCCCAAGCAGCAGCATACTCTGTAAAACAGAAAGGGAAATTTAACTGCTTGTTAGTGTTATATGCAATCAGGACTTGAGCATTTACATAAATTTGCTATGAATCAGGAGGGAAGTGATGAACATTGTATTTTGCAACACTTCCGATGCTAAGACAGTTCCCCAAACACAAGGGAGGGTAACAGCCCTGTTTATAGCTATACAGCCTTTTAAAATACAGTCTTTCCTTCTTCTCTGAACCTGAAGATTATGACAGAAAGATAAACGAAATAAAGACATTTTGAAATAGAAGGTAGGTAGACCTTTTTTCTTTCCAGCTGTTCTGTTTGCTGAGGTATTCACTGAGACTTTAGGAAGTTCAGGACTGGAGAGGATATCCCAGGTAAAAATAGAAAAAGCTATGAGAGGAATATACGGAGCTAAGTCAAATGAAGGGGTTTTTTTTCTTTTTTTGCAGATAAAGTACCTACTACCTGTTAAGAAAGGTCCTAGACACAATTTTTACTTTTTTATTGGATTTGATACTGGATTTGCAGAAGTTAGACATTGCTCCTAGATCATAGAATTGTGATCACAGAATGATTTGGGTTGGAAAGGACCTTGAAGATCATCTAGTTCCAATCCCACCATGGGCAGAGACACCTTCCACTAGACCAGGTTGCTCAATGCCCCAGCCAACCTGGCCTTGAATGCTTCCAAGGATGGTGCAACAAGTTCTCCATGCATCCAGTTCCAATGCCTCACTGCCCTCACAGTGAAGGTTTTCTTCCTTGTATCTAATCTGCATCCTCGAAAGCAAAGAACTAACACCCTCAGAAAACTTATTCAACACTGGGTAGCTGGAGTTGAATGATACTGCTGTGACCCATCTTGATGTTTTCTCTTTGCAGCTGTTTACCCACCTACCTGACATCTGTTCATCCTAAACTTCGTATAAAGCAGAGAGATAAACAATATTTAGAGCTTAATATATTATCCATCAAAGGTTTATGAAGTGCTGCTGAGATCACCAGCTTTACAAATCAGCACACAAATTGTTTTGTTGCATCTATAATCATATCTTTGGAGGATTTATCTATAAAAACATTTTCATTGAGTCTGTCAATACAAACATCCTTCAGTGTTACTATCCAGAGTGCAACATGTCATTCCCGACCCAAGCAATAACTACCCGGACTTGCAGGCATCTAACACACCTAAGCATGTGTCATGACATGATCCTCCAGCTTGGAAGAGTCATAGGATTTTTCCTCATCACAGATATTCCTCTGTTTGCAGGCATGAATGGGTCAGCCATTGAAAATTTCTCCTGTGTGATTTATAACATTTGCCTCATGAACTGCACTTGGCAGGCAGGAAGGGCTGCTCCAGCAGATACGCAGTACTTTCTCTACTGGCAGAACTCAAGGTAAGTAGGTCTGCTTGAGTCAGGGAAGTCTGAATTCTCATTCAACACATCACACTGCCCATGTTTCATGAAAATACCTTGTTTTATACAGAGATGTTGGGGAGATGGAATGTGAGCTTTACATTAAGGATGCAAATGGCCGAAACGTGGGATGTAGATTCCAAAATGTGAGGATAGAGATTGAAAAAGCTCACTTCGTGGTGAATGGGTCTAGCAAAGACTCCCTGATCCAGTTCTATGATGAGTACATTGAACTGTATAAAATTGGTAAGTAAATAATTTATTTTGGCTTTATTTTCAATATTGCTTGAGAAGAGTAGACCATTTATCCCTGAAAAGGAACTGTGTACCCTGTCTCACCCATACGTGAAAGTAAGAGACTGGCATATTCAAGAAAACCTATTTCCTGAGCAAAAGAGCAATGAGGGAAATTAAGCAAGAAAGCTCCACAGCTGCAATCTGCCTCAGATTCTTTAGCAATCTACCCTTATTGGTTTCAGGTTTTTCTAAAGGAAGGTTCATGAGACTTAAAAAACTGTACTTTCCCCTGATGTCCTTTCAGTGATGGCCAAATGCTTTTCCACAGAGGATACTTTTTAGAAGTTTATCTGAGCACTGATTCTTGCTTTTCATTGCCAGTGAGGATGACAGTGGCACCATACCCCTGTTTAAATGAATTAACACACATACAACAGAGCTTTCACATGTAGGGCTCTACTTGGAAGTATCCTGTGCAATTATTTCTATTGCGGTAAAGTCTCACTGGCAATGTCACACTGGTTTTGGTATTGTCTTCAAAATGTAATATCACTCACGGCCAATGGAACAAGACTGATCTTTGATCAAGTAGCCCATCACAAATAGGCCAGGTCTGTCCCTAAAGATCGATGCAAATTAGTAATCTAGCTGAAATTAAGCTTTCCTGTACCAGCCTTTTGTCACCCTTTCTGCTGCGAGTGACTGTCTTTTGCTGTTCCAATAATCAAGTCCCTGGCAATGATCAAAATATAAAGGTCATCACATTTTTGCTTACATCTATGAAGTTAGGGGAGATACACAAAAAAGTTGCCTAAATTATTAAAACTGAAATGTCTTTCTTAAATTTTAATGACTATTTCTTTTGCAAGGGGGAGTAAACTGTATAGTTCACAACATAAAGAAACCAACACCATCATGTCACAGAAGGTTGTTGTGAGAAGGCTTAAAGAAAAAACAGTGTATTGAATGTCTTCTTACTTATTCTAGTTTAGCAGGGGCTAGTTCATCTGTAGTAACAAATATTATTTCAAAAAAAAGACAGTACTCTATTCATCTAGAAAAGTAAATGAAGCGGGTTTGTATCTTTGTATGCTCCTTTATCATCTTCCCTGGCTTAATCTCTTTTTTTTTTTTTTCTTATCCTGGGGACATGATTTAGAAAACATTGATCTTCCAACTATTTCTAACAAGTCCAAAGAAAAATAAATACAAATTAGTATCTTTCTTCATAGAAGTGTTACTTGCAATTGTACTCTTGTCAAAGTAAAAAGGGGTCAAGGGATTTTAATTATTTGGATTCTTGGCTATATCATTTCAGAAAAGCTCATGCCTCCCTCAAATATCACTGTCGACTGTGATGAAATTAAAAACGATTGCATAATTCAATGGCAACGACCCCAAATAAGTCACTCTAACAAAGACAAGTGTTTTGAATATGAAATCAACATAAAATATAAGGTAAGAGGAATTTCTTCACCTCTGTTTAACATTAATTCATATGTTTCCATTTACAAGTAGACAAGGATGAAAAGAAAATCAGTCTCTCTTGTATGATGCAGTCCTCCTCATTTGCAGCATCATATTCCCTGGTGGCTGTGCCTTCTAGGGATCCTGTTATGCCATACTGCCACATTTTATTCTTTTATTTTATTCCTGCTCTCTTGAGTGAGATAGTGAGGGAGATATACTAGGTAAGGGAGACAGTCCCAGAGGAGAAGCATGGTTAATAAAGATTTGAACATACCACAGCTTTGGCTGTGACAACACTGAGAAAAACACTTCTTTCAGTAAAGCCTGTTGGAATTGCCCTGGACTGGAGCCTTTCCAGTGGTGATTGCATAGCTGTGAAAGGGCAGAGCTGGGCTTTAAATACTGAAAAGAGAAATATGCATTCACTTAACAAGTTTGAGTTGATGGAGGTGAATTTCTCTATATAGGAAATGCAAATAGCCTATCCAGATATAAACATCACACCTATTGGTCCAAAAGTTAAAGATTCATAACACTAAATAAAAAGAAAATAAATGTGAGAGAAAGCAGAGAGGCAGTGTGATTAAGCACAGGTTACTCGGGAAATTATTTAAGTTACAGAAAGTCGAGACCTTAACCTTACAAGTCTTTTTGCAACAGTAGGGAAGGAATGATCTTGCTGTGCTCCCCTGCTGGAGTGTATGTAAACAGCTGTAACTGTGGCATAATCGCGTCAAAAGACCACAGGGTGGCAGATAGTGACTACAAAGGGAAAACCTTCCTGAACTACTGCCAGATTAGGTCACTTAGTGCCTTATTGAAGGCTTTCCCTAGATTTCTGATATTTGGAATTTCTTATTCTGAATTGAGCTTGCTATTTCATAATGAGTTTTCTTGCAAGCCCAACTAACTGCTTATGAAACAGCAATATTCCTCTGAATTGTTTGGCTATTGCAACAAAGAAACCTTATTGAAAATTCCATATGGCACTGGAATAAAAGTCAGTTGCAAAAAAAGCAATACATACTTTTTAACATCTTTTAATATGACTAAAATTCATTTTATAAACAATATTGAATTGCATACCTTGTCTGAATTTCTGAGCTTTTTTTAATAATAAGTAGCAGTTAGCAGTTATCACTTTATTAATTATGTCAAGGCCCAGCAATTACTCCAGCAGTTGAGCAGCACAGACTTTCTTGAGACTTATTATATAAGATGCAGCTATAATCATGTCTTTGGAGGATTTATCCATAAAAAATTCTTCTGCAATATTTATTGCTTTACCACTACCTGGTCTAAACTTATATTTCTTTGCCAATACACTATGAACAAAAAATGTTGTTTTACAGTCAGCCTTTAAACTGTATTTTTAATAGCGGAAGTTACTTGCATTGGGAGCAAACATACACAGGAAAAGTTATGAGTAACAACAAAAATTATGAGTAACATAATTTCAACCATATTTTTTCATGTCTGAAAAAATGTTTCTTCAAAAATGGGGGGTGGTTTATAGATCAGGATATCTGGGTAACCCAAAGGAAAACTTCACCAATGAACTGAGCTAAAAAGGCACCAAATACCTCCCCCATGTTCTTTGTCACTAGGTTCCCCCAACTCTGTAAGACACAGGCCTGCTTTATTCTTAATCTTTCTTGATGTCAGTGAACTCATAAAAAACTTCCTTGTGTTCACCTCACTCACTACTCTCAACTCCAGCTGAGCTTTGTCTTTCTCGACTCCATTCCTATATGTGTGGATTATATCTTTGTATTCCTCCCAAATCTGTTCTTCTCCCTTGTGTGTAATTCCTTTTTGTCTCTGAGCTCAGACTCAAGCTTCATGTCCTGCCATGCTCACTTGGCACACCCGATTGATTTTCTGCAAACCTGAATGGACCATTCAGGTGTGTCCAGAATAGGGCAATGAAGCTGGTTAAGAGTCTGAATCACAAGTCTTATGAGGAGCAGCTGAGGGAACTGGGGTGGTTTAGCCTGGAGAAAAGGAGGCTCAGGAGGAAGACCTTAATACTTTCTACATCTGCCTGCAAAGATGTTTTAGCGAGGTGGGTGTTGATCTCTTCTGCCAAGGAACAAGCAATAGGACAAGAGGAAATAGCCTCAAGTTGCAGTAGAGGAGGTTTTAAGTGGATATTAGGGAAATTTTTTAACTGAGAGGATGGTCAGGCAGTTGAGGAGGCTGTTCAGGGGAGCGATGGACTCACCATCCCTGGAAGTGTTTAAAAAACATGTGGCCTTATGTTTGGTCCAGGTGCCAGGATAGAACTGACCTTTGCCAGTTGTGATGCCTGCCCACACTCAAACAGGGTCAAAATACACCCCGCCCAAAATACACAGCAATTGTCAGAAGACTTTTATTACCTCAGCATGCCAGCAGGGGTTCCTCGGTAGTTTCCTGAGTGAGGTAAGGAGCAAGCACCATGGAGAGACAGCCCATAGCAGAGGATGGGGGTGGAGTTTATGAGATAGCCCGTGAGCACCAAGTATGATGAATAACCTTGCGAGCTGTCACATGAAAAGTACATGGCTGATTAGGGTAGGGTGCATAATAACAGGTTTTGGGAAAACCCAACCAAAAGCAACATAAGTAACAATATATTGCAATGTAGAATTTTGATCTTAACAAAGCATAAAGGGTTCCATTTTAAGCAATACTTCGATTGTTGTTGTACTGACTTACGTTGCCTATTTCCACTTTATTCTTACACATTTAACCACACAATGCGGCACTCGTGGACTTGATTTAGAGGTGAACATGGCAGTGCCGGGTTAATGGTTGTAATGAGTGATCTTATGGCTAAACTATTCTAAGATTCTATGATTCTTGTGCTCTGATGAGGTTGTCCTTGTAGATCAAGCAGCAGCTTTGCCCTACAAGGCACTTTCCTCAAGCTACCTGAAGAGGGTCTCATCCGCTTCCTTTTCTTAATTGGGAGATCTGGAACAAACATCTACTACATTAACATCTGTGCTGGTCTGTGCTCCAATACCTACTCACAAGTCATCTTACTGGTTCATCATTCATCTCAAGACAGAGCTCTATGCATACAAGGCACTCCTTTACACCCAGCAGAAGGATCAAATTACCAAGCTTCTTTTCAAGGACACTATCACCCCCTCTGGTGAGATGTATCCTGTGCCTGCTCAGTAGCCCCTGTTTCTCAAAAAGAGTGCCAAGGTTGTAGAAGACAAAGCCCTGCCTGTAAAACCAGTTACTCAGTCACCTGTTGACCTGCTGGATAACTGCAGTTCTGCTCAAGCCTTTTCATCTCACTGATGAGATGAGGAGACACCATCTGGACTTTCTGCTCTTCACCATCTCCTCAGTGATCTGCAAACACCCTTGAAACCTTCCAGATTACCCCTAGGCCTGTCACTGGCACCCACACAGAAGAGAAGTGAGGGGTTCAGTGGCCAGACAAGTCTGGCTGTCCTTATGCAGCATCCTGGATCCTGGCCCCGGCAAGTAATAGACCTCCATGAGGTCAGGTTGGTTGATCAGTGGCATCATTCCCTGCAGGAGTGCCTTTTAACTATCGTACACATTTTCTCTATTTTTTTTAATTGTGGTGCCTCTCTTCTAAAGTTTGCAAAAGACCAGTTGTCATTCTGGAACTCCATTTTGTTATACTTTCACCTAGACTGATCCTTGTGCATAAGCTAGCTTGTTTGCAAGTACTAGAAGCTGTCAGGGACAGCAGCTTGCCTTATAAAAATCTTAGAATAGTTTGAGCAGGAAGGGACATTAAATATTATCTAGTTCCAACCCCCTGCCATGGGCAGAGGTGCCTTTCACTAGACCAGGTTGCTCAGAGCTCCATCCAGACTGGCCTTAAACACTTCCAGGGATGGGGCATCCACAGCTTCTCTGGGCAATCTGTTCCAGTGCCTCGCCACTCTCATAGTAAAGACTTTCTTCCTAATAATCTAAACCTATGGTCCTTCAGCTTAAGGCCAAACCTGTGTGCTGTCACTGTGAAAAGTCCTTCTCCACACTTCCTGAGGGACCCTTTAGGTACTGGAAGGTGCTGTAAGGTCTCTCTGGAGCCTTCTCTTCTCCAGGCTGAATAGCCTCATGCTCAGATGCCACATGAGCATGCATGCAATTATTATATGCATAAACGAAGTCTGGATAAATTTAATCTTGTTGTAAAATGGAGTATTTCAAAATAATTAGGAAAATAAATAACTCTGGTAGTCTAATGGAGATTATATTGTTATGTGTGGTCACTACATTATGTGATAGTTACTATGGCTATTCAGAAAAAAATTAACATATTTTATTTTACCTATCAAAAATGTAGTTGGAGGGCATGCAGTTGTGAGTCCATGTCAGTTCCCAATTATTTTCATCTAAAAGAAAAGAAAAAAATATTTACATAGTAGTTGCAATTATATATAGTGACATTTATTGTGAAATTCAAAAATTAGATGCAAACTAAAAAGTTTATTTCAGAGATTTTTATCTTCTTGGTGTGTGTAAGAATAAAGTTACAGTTTTCATTCAGGTCTGATTTGCTTATGTTTGAGTTTAGTCACCAATCTGAAACAAAATTTGTATCTCAACTACAGTGGCAAGGAAAAGTAATATTTTTTCATATCAGAATTACTCACTACATGAACTTGGTATTGTAGATTAATTAGATATTAGATACTAAATGCTGGATAAATTAATAGTTCTGAACAAATTGTCAAGTAGACAAGAAAGACAATGCAGAGAAACAGGACAGTAGGTAAAAATTACTTATGATCAAAACACAAAATAAGCAAAGATAATGTTTTTCCTTTTTTCTAAATTTACAGGATAATGCTGAAGGAAAACCCAAATATGTTTTTAAACAAGTGAGTCTGCCTGTTCTATTAATCAGTAGTACGTGTTTGTTTCATAGTCAACTGTGAAAAGTAAATACTATGCAAATGTATGTGTTCAGTGCCCTATACTTTATGGGATCCTTATTTATAGATTCCATGAATGTGTCAAATTTCTAAATCATCATGATATATATAATTTATTATACATTCATGGGCAGAACTTTATTGTTTTTCTCTAAGTATTTTCAAAAAACCTATTTTACATTATACTCTCCCTCCCAAATATTTAGAACAGAATTTGAAGTTACACATCATTGACAGCAGAGAAAATAGAGAACAGCTCCTAGGAATTCAATTTTGTTTATGAAAAGCATAGACCACAAAATCCCTTTGGGTGGAGGCTGTCCTGCCAGTATACTGAGCCTCCTGCTAATCAGTGCAACTTTAACATCCCACCTCTATGCTGAAAGCCTCCAAGGGCAGGAGTGTTTCAGTAAATTTTAGTAACACTAAGTAGTGCAGTCTTCTACTCATTTACAAGTTTGGCAAGAAAGTTATGCTTTACCTGAAAAGTCGTAATGCAAAGACCAAGACGGGTGAGGTACATGCAGACAGCTTATTCCTCAAATCACTCAGTTGTCGCAGTATTGAATGACACAGTTCAAGATGTTTTTCTGCCTCTGTCTATGTGCTCAGGGAAGTTATCAATAAATCAAACTAGGTCATAAGAAATCACATGATATACTTTTACAGAGTAAAAGATAAAAAGGTTCTAAATGTAAAAAGTTCAGAGTGTCAGGTTGTTTTTGAGATACACAGTTGCATGCCAATATACCTAATAAACATTAATACATTTATTTTTTACTCTGGAACAGCAGTCTACTTTAACATGCAATGCTCTCATAGTCTCTTAACTTTCACTGGTAAATGGCAAGTGCATATTGTCAACACTTAAGCACGTCAAAAAGAGAAGAAACTCAGTTTTGTTTTGTTTTTAGGAAGGGGGAAATAGTCACACATTTCCAAGATCCAACACAAGAAAGAAGTATCTCTTGAAAATGAGAACAGCTGGCAGTGCCTGCCTTGTAAACCCAGCCTGGGGGGAATGGAGTGCACCTGTTGAGTTTGGTAAGAACAAGTCCAAGCCCTGAGCTACTTTTCCCCCAATGATATCCTGTCTACCTCACACATTGCTGTGCACCTGCAGACATGCAGATATAGAAAGGACTGGCTAACATTTTGCTTCAATCCGCACTGCAGAGAAGAGTAGGAAGCGACTTAATAGATCTCTTAACATTCTAACATAGGAAATAATATAAAAAAGTTACATGCAGCTGAAGTGCATACCTGCTTACTGCAGGGGATGGACAAACAGGCTCAATGTTAATCCCTCCCAGCAGGCATTTCTGCTGTGTTAAATTACAGAGTTCATTTGTATACCAAGCCAAACCTTTCAGACTGATATACACCAATCAGTCACCACAGTACATGCTTAACAAGAAGTTCAATAAGACCAAGTATAGAGTGCTGGACCTGGGTCGGGGCAACCTCTGCTATCAGACTGGGGTCTGAAGGAATTGACAGTAGCCCTGCTGAGAAGGACTTGGGGATGCTGGTGAGTGAAAAGTCAGATGTGAGCCAGCAATGTGCACTTGCAGCCCAGAAGACCAACTGTATCCTGGGCTGCATCAAAAGCAGTGTGGCCAGCAGGTCAGGGTAGGGGACTCTGCCCCTATACTCTGCTCTCATGAGACCCCATCTGGAGCGCTGCATCCAGCTCGGTATAAGAAGTATGGGAACTTGTTGAAGTGAGTCTAGAGGAAGGTCACAAGAAGGATCAGAGGGGCTGGAGCACCTTTCATAGTCTGAGAGAGTTCTGTTTGTTCAGCCTGGAAAATAGAAGGCTCCAGGGAGAACTTGTTGCAGCCTTCCAGTACCTAAAGGGCCTACAAGAAAGCTGGGGAGGGACTTTGTGCGAGGACATGTATCAATAGTTCAAGGGGGAATGGCTTCAAATGGAAAGAGAGCAGATTTAGATTAGACATTAGGAAGAAATTCTTCACTATGAGGGTGATGAGGCAATGGAGAAGGTTGCCCAGAGAAGCTGTGGAAGTGTTCAAGGTCAGGATGGGGCTCTAAGTAACTTGTTATAGTGAAAGGTGTCCCTGCCCATGGCAGGAAGGTTGAAACTCGATGACCTCTAAAGGTCATTTCCAATCCAAACTATTCTGTGATTCTATGATCTAATCCTATTTATTAATAATAATAATTTATGACTGTTTCTCCTTCAGGAAATGAGGAAATTATTTCTTCTTCGGTATGGATTTTACTTGTTGTCGCATTCGTAACACCGTTAGTGGCAATCATCGCAATATTGTTCTTCAAAAGGTAAACTTAATTTATGGATTTATTTTATTTTATACGTGTGTGTGGAGCATCTGAAGTTCTTAAACAAATATCATTATTTCACTTTTCTTTTCAATACTCTTTGATTTCCAGGACTGGCTGTTGGAAAGCAGCATTTCCACAAATCCCAGGTCCAAAACATGCTTTTTTTGGACTGCCTGATACAAATCCAGAGGTATATTTTCTCTTTCCATTATTATATTTAATGTGTGAAATACAGACAAAACTCTGGATGAATTTTTAAATTGTAAGGGACTTATTACAGAGGATAACTCTTCTTCTTGCCATATTCTGAAGAATTGCAAGACAAAATCAGCAGGCAAGTTTGTTAAGGGAAGATAAATGTTGTGCTCTTCCAGAACTATGGAGTTTCTCCCATTCCAGTCTTACAGGTGCAGAGACTGAGAGATGCTTCCACTGGTAGATTCAGGCAGCAGGAAGGGCTGTGTGTTTTCCCAACATGAGGTACACACATGTACGATGACACAACAGAGCACAGGGATACAGCCAGCCACAAATGCCAGCACAGGAGCCTCTGCCAGCATCACATCAACCACTGGCAGTCTCATAAACAGGAGCCCAGACACCACAGTCCTCCTGCCACTCTCCAGCTGAACAGGGCTGAAGTTTGCCAGTGAGATGAGCATACATCCTCACTCTCTTCGTTTACAAGCACCATGCATTTGCAAGTTCCTCGCATCTGATCCCTGGGTCTGAGCCCTGTGTTCCCCCTTCCTGGTCAACAACCCTTACCATGAATCTCTCCTACTTACCACTAGCAAATTACACATCCAGGATAGAAAGCAAGGTGACAAAGAAAACAGTTCAAAATAGGATTTCATAAGGAAATGGCAGACTGTGGTGGCCACACACTTGACCACACCAGCACTTGACCACACCAGCACACTCACATGACACAGTTCATTTTTGCCTGTTTTTTGTCCAGTATTTTACCATGTTACTCTTGCTCTGTTCGATTAGCTAAACTTCGGGCCATGGGTGCCTGTCTATTTTCACACCTTAGTGAAGTTAATCCTTTTGTTTAAACTCATAGGATCATTTATATTGGAAAAGACCTTTAAGATCATCAAGTCCAACTGTTATCTAACTGTCTTGTAAATACCTCCAGGGAGGATGACTCCACCAATACCCTGGAGAGCCTGTTGCAATGCCTGGCAACTCTTTCAATGAATAATTTTTTCCCTAATATCCAATGAAAACCTCTCCCGCCAGAATTTATGGCCATTAGCTCTTGTCCCCTCTCTTGTTATTCGTTACTTTGAAGAAGAAACCAGCCACCGTTCCACTACTCTTTTCAGGGTGTTGTGGAGAGCAAATTTGTTTGAGGTTGATAATCTGCATGGTGCACTATAGGAAAGCATGTTCTCCCATACACTTCCAGGTCAGCAAAAAAAACATGTGTCAGCATTACAAATTTGCTGAAATTTCAATGTTATGACCATCTAAGGAGAGCTTTTCACCTAAGAAACAAAGAAGTGAAATATTTTATAACATTATGCAACAACAGTTGAAATACTCCCAGAATTGTACATGCTAACTGAACCATATGTATAAATGCATATATGTCTAAAACTGATGGAAGTTTTTATTTTCCTTTCAGCTGATGGAGAGCAAAATGCAGTCAACAACATCTGAAAATGAAGAGATAATATTAGTTTCTGACATAATAAGATAAAAAAAAAAAGAGGAGTCTAAAACTGCATTTCTTAAACAACTGTATATTCCTGTAGAAAGTCTGGAATAATATATATAGGCTTTCTTCACTCTCTTCTTTTTTCTTGTAGAAAACAGTGATGCAGCCATGAGAGAATGATACTTCACATGCAATCTTTTTAAATGCCATTGTATTTGCTTTGAATTTTGGCTAACTTTTATTGTTTGAGTAAGTTGTCCTTATTGGATATCTTCCATTTTGTGAATATGAAAAAATAATTGGTTTATCTCATATTAATAGCGTTAAGAATTAATTTATTGGGATGGATACAATTTTTAAAAATTCTGGTGCCTGAATGCCATTGTTCTACTGTCAAAAATGGCCCGGTTCAGACTTGAAGTTTCCTTGGAGCTCTTAAATTATGGACAGTTAGAAAAATGCAAAAACAAGCTGAGACATTGAGCAGTGGCCTGCAATCAATGGGAATCTCAAGGGACAGGAATTTGTCTAAAACCCTGAGTATTTCTAGAGCTTAAGTGTGTTACAGCACAGAAGACAAGAAGCAGATATTCTCACTTTCTGGGCTGTCTCCCGACACCCTTGAGAGAGATTAGAAGCACAGCAATAAATTATTTTATGGGTATATTTGATTTCTGGATTTCTTTATTGGAGAAAGAAGCATATCCCAGCAAAGAACTCAGAATCTGAGCATGAGTCTGAGCAGAGCACAGACAGAACTTCCAGTTTCAGTTAGTCTAATTCCATACAAGGCTCATCCTTGATCTGGAGCTATACCAAAAGAGTCCTTATTGTTTGACTCCCAAGTTTGGATGGTTGCTTGGTGAACTATCTACTTGTCCCTACCTGAGGAGGTAATGCTGGAAGCTCACCATGACTTCTAAGGATGTCTTAAGATGCAAAGAGAAAATGCTCAGCAATTTGCCTCCTTAACTGAATTAACCTTTGAGCACTTTCATTCACAAGAAAAAGAACTTTATTCTCTGAGTAGCCTCACTGGTTTTGATGCTTTTTTCAGTCTGAAATTCAGATTTTGAGGGTCGGTACTGGGGTACTCTTCCTGGAATGGGGCAAAGCAACTTGAACAACACCCAATTTGCAAAGCTATAAGTGGTGAACGGAGAAGGGGGTGTCGTGCTGTTTTTGGTGTTGAATAATTCTGAAACCTGTCTGACTCATCATTTTCATAACTGGATGAGAAATCACTGACAATCATTTTTATGATTTGATATATAAATGTTTTGAGAATCAAAGGCTTAGATTTTGACACTGTACGTTTGAACCTTGACATTTGATTATTAGACTAAATACTCCCAGAACTACTTTCTTGCACACAAGCCAATTGCCATGTAAGAGTCTAGATACATTTTATTAAACTCTAAAAAAGGTGGACACTTACAAACTACCTTTAGAAATTAGCCCTGGCCTGAGCTAACCTCTGGACTATGTCCAGGAGTTGTTCAGGACATTGCTTGCAAATCCTGGCCAAACTAATGCTGGGAACAGTTGTTCCTGGACGTGTTCCAGTGCTGGGGAGCCTTCCAGATACCAGTGCAGCCAGGACTGCACTCTCTCCAGCTTATACTGTAGCTGAATGTAAACAGCTCTTGGCACACCTACTGCCTTTGACGCAGTTAATGATTACCTTTTGGTCAAAGACTCACCTGAGAAGCTTTTTGCAGCAGATCAGAAAAACAAAGCAAATTTCTTAAATAGGCTGAATTCATGCCGGACACGCTTGTAAACCAGCTTTGTATTTCTCTCAGTATGCAGCAATGGTCAGAGTTGAAATTCTCACAATAACTTGCTGAAAGAGTTGTGGGTTTGTAAGAGACTGCACTAGTTTATATGAGCTTTCCCAGTGTCTTTCCTCATGGGTAAAATTGCCAGAGTGTGGCATAGTTTGACTCCAGTCCACCAAAACCTAGCCGTGAGCTATGAACCACTGCTCACTGGCTCTCTGTAAGGAAGGATATAGTAAAGTACAATAAAGACAGTATCGAGACACTCGGGAGATGGAGTTATGGAGTTATTAAATAGAATCTAAACAAACTGCTCACTTGTTTCCTGTTTTCTCCTGGGAAGGATAACTGATTTTGGACAAGTGTTACACCCACGTTCGAAAAAAAAGGTCAGAAGTTCAATCCAAAGAACTGCAAGCCTATAAACCTGGAAAACTCATGGCTTGAGCCCTCCTGGAGTACATTTCTGTAACATTAAGAAGTAGATGGTGTCTGGGAATAGTCAGTATGATTTTATCAAGGGTAAATGCCTGTAAAAACTGGGTTACCACAGGGATCTATCCTGGGGCCTATCCAGTTTACTGTCTTTATCAATGAGCTGGAGGAGGTGATGGAGTGCATTGCCATCATGTTTGCAGATAACACTGAAGTGAAGTGACCAGCTGATTTGTTCAGGATGAGGGCTGCAATCCAGACAGACACAGACAGGCTGAAGGAATAGTCCAAAAGGAACCTTGAAATCATTCACTGCTCACTTGAATTACATGGTCTGGAAGAGGAAAAGTTTTTAAAAAAACAATTTTTTAAAAAATTATTTTATAAATAATTTTTAAAAATTATTTTATTTAAATATAAAAAAACCCTGTGTTTTGAAAAATTGTACATTACCTAGAACTCTGTGCTTTGCAGCAGCCCTTGTTTCTTATAAAATAGCTTTACACAACATTTGGCAACTTCTTGAAGGATATGCACACAATATGCACACAAAATACTGCTTTCTTATGAAAGGTTGGTAACATTTCTGAAGATTTTGTAACCCTGGTGTTTTTCTCAGACTTTCTCTGAATGTTCCAAATGCTAATGCTAAACTGAGATCTTTTCAGACCACGTAGAGCGAATGTTTTGTCTTTCACTCATGACAAGCTATTTGTGAATTGGCTAGCAACATCTACATCAGCAGCATGGAGCACCACCTGCTAGAGATCCCAACAGACCACCCTATGCTGGTGGACCAAGACGTCTGGTGTTCAAAGGGACTGTCTTGGAGAACTGGAGAGGTGTCTGTCCCTTAAAAACTGTTCTAGTGTGAGTCTCAACCAGTGATATTGATAGTGCTGAACTAGAATAAAACACAGAACATCATATTAAACAAAACCAAATAATTGCTGGTTCATTGTAAACACCAGGCTGTAGACTGTGGCCATTCGCATCCTTCTGAAATTACTCTTCCCAGAAGAAGGTGAGACCTATTAAAGGGAAACGCAAAAGACTTCATACATCCCAAAGGAAGCTGGTGTCCAGGATGGTCAGAGCCAGGACCTGAAGGCAGCCATGGTCCCAGCAGGGCTGTGCTGTCCCTGACCAGGGCCCATCCACACCACCCCTTAGGGGAGAGAACAGGTAGGCAAACCCTATAAAAGAAAGAGTGGGTCTCCGTGCACACAGAGCCCTGATGAAGTCATCCAGTCTAGAGTTCAAAATCATTGAATCACAGAATGATTAAGGTTGAAAAAAACCTCCAAGATCACTTAGTCCAACCCTTGGCCAACCACCACCTTGTCAACTAAGCTATGGCACTAAGTGCCACATCCAGTCATTTCTTGGACACTTCCAGGGATAGTGACTCCACCACTTCCGCAGGTAGCCCATTCCAATGCTTGACAACCCTTTCAGTTGAAGAAATTCTTCCTGATGTCCAACCTGAACCTTCCTGGTGCAGCTTGAGGCTAAGTCCTCTGTCCTATAGTTGCCTAGGAGAAGAGGTTGACCCCCACCCTGCTACAACCTCCTTTCAGGTAGTTGTAGAGAACAGTGAGATCTACTCTAAGCCTTCTCTTCTCCAGGTTAAACAACTTCAGCTCCCTCAGCTGCTCCTCATATGTTTACAAATGTATCAGTTAAAACTGACTCAGTTCTTGTTAGGGCAGCCTGAAGGTACCAGTGAGATGATACTGCAACATTACCCTCACGCTACCTAGAATCTCACCAAACATGTCACTGCAACAGCATGCAAACCCTTTCAGAAAAATTAATCAGGCATACAGACACATTTACATCACAAATATATGTGGCACAGAAGGATGGTTCTTTAGAAAAGTTGCTAAAGGTGGTAGTAGTCACTGAGGTGGCTGGTAGTACCCAGGTAGAGCACTGATGAATAAGCCATTTCAGACCACACTGAAGTGTGACTACACGTGTGTTCTTTTTAGGCTACACAAAATAAGTAAATTAAATCCTTTAATGAGTAGAAGATTTGAGACATACCTTTCCTGTTCCCAAGGTACTGAATAGGTGGGAAGGACTGAGTCAAAGATAGTATGTGGTTCTAGAGACAAAATTCTGCAGCCGAGACCTGCCTTATGTGCGGTCTGCCTAAAGTGTTACTCATTTCACTTATCTAGTTTTTTTCATCCATAACCTCAAGGTTTTAAAATAGAAAATAATATTAACATGGCCTTGTGGAGGGAATCAGTGGATAAAGGTGGGCAAGACTGAGCAGTGTGGACTGAAAAGTAATGATATTTATCATTTGAAAAGTCTGTGAAGTAGTTTGCTATTGGTGGATCTGAGCACATACACTAGCAAAAAAAGCCCCACTCCCTGCAGTTTTAGTTCAAGGATAGCAGGGTTAAGAATAGTTCTTCCTGTAACTAACTACTAAGGACCCTGCCTCACTCCTAAAAGCCTAGGGAATTCTTTATCTTCCTTTTATTGTACCTGTGTTGGGAGTGGAAGGGTTAACTAAAACCATCTGAGAGCATCTGAGCATCTGAGAACAGCAAGAAGTAAAAAGAATCTACTACGTGAAGATTACTTAACTGGATATCAGATATCACGTAAAACAAATGGAGAAGTGGCTAACTCTCAGCATGACCCAGAGCCACACCTAAACTTGCTGGAAGTTAAAGCAAAGCAATGTGGCTTAGACTCTCATATTTATATAACTGTAAATTCTTTGGTGAACTTGACATTACATTAGTGAGTAAATGCTTTGAATATTTTCTTTTAATTTCTGTAGTCAGACACTTTTGCACCTAACCCATGATATTGTAGCCTAAGATGACAGCAACCCATAATCAGGCAGTGAGAAAGTTCAGCAATTTGGCAATTTTCCTTGCCATGTCTTTGCCTATAAATAAGCAAGACAGAACTTTCTTGGCTGTTTGTATATACATGCTAAGGATTGATCTTCCTCAGAGGAGAACCTGGGCTGCGGCAGGGGCCATAATCAACATATACAGACAGTAAGGTCCTGACAGAAATAAGTAAATGTGTTATAAACATTTTCAACACAGACTAGACACACAACACTGCTGTTGTTTCCAGAAGATATTATTTATGAAAATGTCTTTATTTGTAGAAGTGGTATTTTTATGAGCATATTCATATAGTAGGATTCTATTGAGAATTTATGTATTTTTGTATAATGAGTTTACATATTGAGACTATTAATGCTTAGTACATCTGACATAACAGGAAGGAAGTTTGTTGCATGACCGGTACATGTGAAATTGTTAACATCGGCAAATCAGGA